CAGCAAGCAAGAAACAGAAGCAGTTGAAGTTCTTTGTTGTTTTGTACCACTTTCGGAATGCAGGCTATTTTCAGATTCATGTAAAATAATTTTTAAGGAGTTTTACTTCATAATGGAAATGATTATGCATCCATCCAACAGACACGTTTAATAAACTTTAAATAATCTTGCCATTATATTGTGCTTTTGTTTGATTTTTTTAAATTCATTGTTGTACATTTTCAGCTCCTTAACTACGAATAAAGTAGTAAGAGCAGGCAACTATGTTCCGCCATGATTTAGAGGTTATTCTAACATTACTTGCATAGGAATCTGGACACAAAATTTCCATGGCTTTTAATGTGAATGGCATAATCGCGTGAAAAAGTGACTGGAAAAGGGGAAAATTTTTATCCAGGATATATTTACCAACTGGATCACAAAATATTCAAAACAATTGAGACGTCGACCCTTTCGAAAAGGCTTGTGCTGCAACCACTTACACTAAATTAGTATAAATGGAACACTTTTTAAAGTCTTAATGATTATATTAAACTTACCTGATATAAACGTCCTCCTGTAACTAAAGCCAGAATTAAAGTAGGAATATTATTTAAGTTCATTCGAAAGCTAATGCTAAATAGCGAGTTTGAGATATAAAGGAAACTCGTAAAAATGAAGCATTGCTAAGCATACATAAAGTAGCTGAATACGTTTTACGAAATGAGAATGACTCTAATTGAAATGTAATAGCAGAAAGTTTTGATTAAATAGTTAAAATTATTTACTTGCAGTATTAACTCTCTTTCCACCCACTCCTAATTTTTTTTTCGAAAAAAAAAAAAAAAAAAAAAAACTTGATACAGTTTCCAGGAACAAGTTGAAAGATTCATGATGAAAATATGAAAGTATATGAAAGACATGGAAAAGAACGGCAGAGTTCATTAGGCTTTTCGAAATGAGAGAAACATGAAAATTCAACTAGAGTCGAAACATAGATCCTCCAATAGCTATAGTCTGTTACTTTAAATAGGCACTTCAAGGTCCTCTTGGCCCTCCCTCATTTACGCTTGTCCTATGTGTCGTCTTTACCTCAAAAAGTAAATTGGGGAATTTTAGCAAATTAGATGACTCGACTTTTTTTCCTCAACAATCGTTCCCATATTTATGAGTCAGGTTTGGGAGGGAAATAACCTTGAAGTGCCTGTTCTTAAGTAACAGACTGTAGATGGGCCTGCTGGAAGAAGAAAGAATCTACTTTTAAGACAAAACCTGAATTTAAAAAAATTCGCAGTTAACGAGCTGAAAATGCAAAACAGTGAGTTAAAAAAAATCAAATATTTTTTTAAATTTCATTTGGGAATCACTAAAATTAAAATATTAAAATAATTATTTGGTTGTTGTTTAAAGAAACTGCAAAGATTAGTCTTAATAAATGTTACATGTGGCCTGAGGAAATTTATTAATGAAAGAATACTTGTGAACGATATGTGAAAGTTTGTGAAAGAGAAAAATGTTTAAAAACCAGAATATTTCTCTTAATAGTAGTTTTATTATCCCTATAACATATGTAGAATACAACAGATTTTTTTTCTAAGCTCTAAGCGACTGAAAATAGAGGAGCATGAAACCAAGTCAATGAAATACAGGTGCTGGCGAATCGAATCTCGGACTCCACTTTAGAGAACATGACGCTTTTCGAAGCAGGGGACGTGAAAAATCTATTTTGCTCTCACCGGGACTCCGATATATGGGCACATATTTTCGTGTTTCTAACCGATTACACTACGAGGAAACGCACTGCGAAATGCGTTAATTCCTTAAAAAAATTCAAAATTAATAGAAACTACAATAAAGAAAGAAACTAAATTGCCCTTAATTGTAGCTGAAACTCGGGAGTAAATTGTTCACATATATGTGTCTGATACACTTTCCCCTTGCTTTTGAAAGCTCTTTCAATGAATACTTGAATAGGCTGCGAATGTTCAGCTTAGTTCCGCTTGAAAAGATACACAGTCATTGGAATGGCGAGCATTACTTGAACAGAGAGTCCTTGCGAATCTAATGAGAATACATATTTTTCATCCAAATTCCACAGTCTATCTCTCATTTTCAACTTCGCTGTGAAATGCATTTGTAACTTCTATTTCATGTTTAGAAAACTAAGTGTATTTTGAGAGGAAAATCGAAACTGTAAGTTCAACTGATTTTTTTTTTTTTCTTTTAACTCCGAATCTCTTAAGTTTTGTAGTTATAAATAGTTTACCGAGATATGTGTTGCATCTTTAGCGAGCGAAACCCTCAGTAGTAACAGATGACGCTTTTCGGATTGGTTGGGTATCAGAAAGGATTAATTATAATTAATAAGAATGTAAATTATGAATATGCAGTAGAACTCTAAATATTCGGATATCCGGGACCAAATTGCATTTGTCTGTTAAAAAATACCCTGATGATTTTTTTCTCTGATAATCTCAATCTGAGTTTCAATTTATTCATTAGTTTGGCTGATTTAGTTTGTTTATTTATTCCTTTATTATCAAAGAACAGAAAGTTATCTTTCTTATAACAACATTTAATAACAAAATGTTATCTGCGAAAATAACTCCTTTTCTCATTATAGCATCTCTTATCAAGAATGAGTTTAAAGACAGATGTTACATTCTACACAATTTTTGCTACATTAATATTTTGAGCTGTCTCTTCAAATACTACGTTTCATAGGAAGACGTTTTGCAAGAATTACACTCTAAAAAACTAGTATAGTTCATCAGGTAACTAGTATCTTGCTGAATACATTATAAAGGTTCCAAGAATTTCTCCTTAAATGCATTTACCAGGGAGTAGCGAAAGACGATAAATTATTGCAGAAGATATATTTTCGAAACACATTTTACCAGTCTGATACTATAAATGGCAAGAAGACAAAATTAATTCAAAAGCTTTATAATGATGGAAATTATCGTTTTTAAATGTAATAAACAAGTAATAATAATTCAGAAGATTGAATTAAATTACAATAGACGCGTTAAATATGGAGAAATAAACTAGTTTAAATAAATGTGTTTAAAACTCGAAGGACAACACTGATGATATATCCATTACAACGAACTTATAATAAATACATCAAACAACAAAACAGCGAAAAGCATGCACAGTTTCAAATAAACAAACAAGGGTATTAAATTAGATGACAAAGTATTTCTATTGATCGAATACTGATTTAAATCTAACTAAACAATATAGTAAATTTCATATTTTTTTCCTCCCGAAAAGTAGTTCGATTTTTCAATGTTTTGACCTAGAAGTTATTCTGTCAACCATAACTTGCTCGATCATGCAGATGCATTGTTTGAAAAATATCATTATAATCAGAGGGAGAAACTGTAAACACAAATTTCATATGTCAAGTGTAATCTGAATGCACTTACATTTTAGTGTTTTCATTCCAAAAGAGAACTACGAAAACTTAATTGAACTTTACGTTCTTGTTACCTAAAGAAAATTCTTCAACTTGCACACCAGATAATTTTAAAGCAATCATCTACATCGAATTAGATCCGTCCAAAGTAGCAGAAAATTACACGAAGTTAAGAACTGAGAAATTAGGAAAGGTAAAACAAAATGCTCTTAAATGTTCCTTTCCTAACTTTTAGTGGTGGGTTAAGAAAATGCCTCTGATGCTTTTTCTTACCAATGATTAATTAAAGTTGCAGATGAACTGATCACTGAATATCTGAATAATTGCTGCGCCTCTATAGTCAATGATTCGACCCTTTCATTATTTTGTACCTAACAGTAACAAGTGACCTACTGTAAATGTTGTAAAATAGTGATTAGAAACTGGTGGATTGCGGGCTGCCCGTGGTCTTCGAAGCAATTTTGTGCTACCCGCGAAGACTTTTCAATTATGCATTTGTTGCAAATACGGTGTTGAAAGATTTCAAGATTTTAGTATCTTAGTTATTTTAAGTCTGAATTTACATTATGTTAATTAGCATGAAAAACGAGCATAAACATCGCACCAGGAAATCTGTAAATGGAGCTAATTAAGTCACAGTGTGATAGAAATGTTATTCAAGAAGTCAAAGATATAGATTTTATTAACTTTTATTCGAATTTGTCAAAAAATAAATAAGCTCAGTTACAAAATTTGCATTAATAATAATGGCTTTGTTTGGAAAAAACATTTACATGTGAATATTTTTTTTTCACAGCTGAAAATTTAATAAGAAAAAACACAATTCACCGAAGAGCAGCTATAATCTGTGACGAAGATAATTTCTAGTAATTTCTCTCCAAGGCTACAACTTTACTATAATCGAAACGCCATCAAGTATCAAGCTGTAGTAAGAAATGAAGAAATTTAGAATTATTTATTTTATAAGGTATTTCTCCCGCTTCCTAGCGTGCTTTCGTGGTGTAGTGGTTCTGCACGCTGGGCCGGTATCCAGAGGTCCGCGGTTCGATCCCCGGCGAAGGCGATTGCTAATTTTTCATCTTGCCTGCTTCCAAAAAATACCTAATGTCTCTACAAGTTATCTAAACGTTATAAGCTGAGTTTCGATAACTACATATGCATTACTTTCTGGACATTCTGAATATACCATTTTGTAGAAACAACATATTTAGGTAGAAAAGTAAACTAAAACCATTTTTTGTGTGAGTTCAGATTGTTTAATATAGTGAGAAAGTTATTTCAAATCACATTCACACACATAAATAATTTGTAATATTAAAATATTCGACAAAATGCAAATTTTTTTCCACTCTGTATTGCTACTTATTTTATTAGTTTCTGCAGCAAACAATATTGTGCTTTATGTTTCAGACTTTCTTATAGTTTTATTTCCAAAAACAAATTTATTTTCACTGTTTATTAAGGTAATTGAAATCTGCTTCTACACAGAATACAGCATTTTAATAAAAATAAATATTTCTTAAAAACAGATTGATAAGCAGAAAAAATAAAATCAGTTACGTGTTTATCCACACATTGAGCTCTAAACATCAGAATAAAGTTTTTTTTTTTTTTTTTTTTTTTTCCTTCCCGAAATACTTGGGTAAACTTCAGTGCGCTTCAAAACTACCTAGGCTGATTGTAAAGTTTTAAGACTGTTTCTCTTTTTCAGAATTAGATAATCCTATGTATTCTACACATTTTCCCCCTTTTTTAATTTTTCAAATCTCAGTTCTTTTCACTAAATTATATTTTTTCATCATGCTTTTTAAAAATATGATATAGACTGTTTCATGACATAGTACTGAGAGCATGGCGTCTTTCGCTATCTTATCTAAAGAGAACATCTTCTCCCGTGATGTGCTGTCAATGCCATAGCAGCAGCACCTAGCATTGTCCTAGAGTTAAACCACTGTTATTTTTTTTTCAGCAAATCCAGTCTTTATGACACCACGCAAATATTTTTCAAGGCATTTACATAAGTCACGCTTTACTGCCTACTCTTGGATGCACTACTTATAGCTGGTTGACATCCGTAACTGTAGTGTATAACTTTCCAGAACGTACTTTATCAGTCACGTACGTTTTTACTAGTTTTATAGAATTGAAGTGCTCCCATCACTGAAGGACTAAAGCACGGCTAAATGAAAACGTGCTCTAGCATTTAAGTTGTTTTATGATGGCTGTGCGTAAGTTTAACTCAAAATTTCAATCAATATATGTGTGTATCTTATCTCTGAGATGTAGTCATAAAGATTTCTTTCTAACCCACCACTACAAAACGTACCAAGTGCTTTCAGTCGCTGTAAATAATAGCTATTATCATTGCTGTCCAATTGCAGGTTCAGATGTGTAAGGTTGCCATGCCTAATATTCGGGAAGAGAAATAGAGTCAGTCTTAAAATTTTTCATTCAGCCTGTGTATTATTTTAATTAAGATTTGCCTATGCATGTTGATAGCAAATATGAAATTTTATTAGTAAGGAGATCAGCAAGTGCAGTTAAAAAACAGGTATGCTACTCCAGGATACCACTGATCACAGTCCATCGTAAGAGGTTCTTCGTCTCCTGTAACGGAGTTTAACCAACAGGCTCCTTCTTTACTGATATAATCTGCAGATCTGCAGCCTTGAGTATCCCAACAAAATGACATGCATTCTTCAGGGCTTTTCACTTTCTGGTATCCAGCATTGAAGAGGTATATGCATGCTCTTTCCACATGGCCAAAATGAACTAGAAAATAAATAAAAATATAGGTTTCGCAATCCATTTAAATTTAAGTTTGAGTTAAGCTCTTTCTTTAAGTATTCCGCGTGGAAGGTCATCCAAGTACTTAAGTATTATCCAGTCGACTGTGAACTATCGCCAAACAACGCGATTTAATGCCAGTTATGGATGAGAGCCACGTAACAACGCACTCATAACATCTGCGCTTTCGTTTAATATAACCCCAATTGATTCTCGATAAGCCCCTTTGGTTTTTGTAAATAAAGTTACAAGTTAACTTCTATTGTATTTTTTTTTTTACAAAATGATTAAAAATTTAAAATCTGCCTTCTATAAAACAGCAAGCAGTAAATTATTTTAGTATTAAGTTAGGAAAGTATACAATTAAAAAACTGTGTATTAATGGACACGATGTAGTATTTTATTTATAAACAGAATAAGCAATGGCGATGCAACATGAAAAATTGTGATAAGAAAACTTTCATTCGAAAAGGAGCTTTGTTAGTGGGCTGTAGAATCACATTGTGACTGCACTTCCGTTCCTTTATAGATGGTCGAGTGAATTAACACCTATTAAATGTTGAAACGAGTAACTGAATATAGCCGACAAATCAACATTAAATTGAAAAAATTACCCGTGGGAAGTTTCTACTCATAGCCTCCGAAACAGAGGTTCCTATAAAATTGGAGGGTCGAACAATATAGTATAAATCAAAAAGGGCCTTTCTAGAAGCGCAAAAATAAAGTGTGCCGAATATTGGTTGTTTATTAAATAAAGACAGGTCAGTTCCTCTGGGAATCCACAGGAATAATTGGCCCAAAATTATTCGGATCTCCGCCAATTTTGATGATTCGATGGTAACTAGCTTTCAAGGTCGACGGTATAATACCGTAAGTACCGTCATCTACGTACCAAATGACACAGCTGCTAAATTAAAAATTCACTGATCGATACGCCTTTTATTCGCTATATATCAGTAAGTAGAACCCAGGGTGATTTCAGGGTAACTTTACAAAATTTTAATAAATCTGAGAGAAAATATACCTAGAAACGTCTAACAGGGATCTTTCAGAAAATAAGTTGGAAAATTAAAGGTAAAAATGCCAAATGTGTATACGGCATAACTCTTAAATAAAAGGTGAAAATGTAGAGCAAGAGATTGCTATAAGAATGGCGGTATAATGCATATTAGCCAGTGTTTTTCAAGACAGAACAGGCGCATGTTATCTGCACCATGCTGAACGCTCTCTCTCATGTGCTGCAGTGGGCGGGACGCAAACCTCTAGTCTTCTTCCATACATCCCTATCATATGAAACCTTCGGGCAACTGTAGACCGTGAAACTCGGGTTTCAGTTGCAGCATAAAACTGACGTGACAGCTGCGAAGCTGTAGCAATACTATGTCGTTGCGCTGAAACAGTACCTCCTACATACATGTATGTAGGAGGTACTGGCTGAAAGGGGCAAATAACGATTCTCATTCATCATTGTGAATTTTGGTCGACATTATCCAGGTTTTCTCCATATGGATCCAGTATAGTGAAACTGTTTCCACAAATTGCAGACGAAAATGGGAGTTACATTGAACTCTGTAACTACCTGCGCTTATGATTGGTCTGCCTCATATACCGGTATTTCTTCATTTCCTTCCGTCATCCATACGTTGGTGGCTACTCATTTGAACCGACACTTTGTAAAATTTACCGATCTCTTGCGATAATCAGGCGAATGTTGCGAAGGAGACGAGCAGACCAATCGTCGGAACTTTTCATGCGCTTATATCCCCTCCGCAATCACAGCTTCGCAGACACGCATGAGTACGCTTAAGTATTTGATTCTGAATATTTGCGTAAATCTTCGGCAGCATAATTAGTATCTTTGGCATTTACTTAATGATTTTCGCAAACATAGATATAATTTGCAAATTATCTTAATTTTACGCACGTGTGTATATATGCTGAAATAAGGCTGAAAATTAAGTGAACTTAAGTGTTCACTTTTAGTGGTACATAATACTAAACAGTTTCTGAATATGATGTATGCCTGTATTATTTTTGCTGCAGTTAAATTAAGGTGGTTGTACATTATTAAGGGTCACGAAAATGTTAATATGTTAATTGAAATTTACATTGTTGATTTAGAGATTTAGAGTCCTCTCACCCTTGCCCCTGTCAGAATTTTGAGATCAATTTTCAGTTAAGAACTGTAGACTGTGGTGCCAGAAATTTCGTTTTCATTGAGACAATTTAAGTGGTTAAAATGTTCTTGTGTTTTATTTGCCAAATATTAGTAATAAATGCGTTAAAAAGTTTAGAATACGTGTCGCTAGGCAGTAAACAAATGATTACCCTTTTCTTAAGCACATGAAATATCATGCTGGAGCACCTTTAGTTGATTACGTTATAAGGTATTTCTCCCGCCTTCCTAGCGTGCCTTCGTGGTGTAGTGATTATGCACGCTGGGCCGGTATTCCAGAGGTCTGTGGTTCGATTCCCGGAGAAGGCGGTTGCTAATTTTTCATCTCTCCATAGCCGAAAAATCGTAATTTCTCTACAGTGGCCCCCGAACTAAAAGGGTGGTGGATGATGATGATTTCTCACCGCCCAGGATTTGGCAATTGGGTCCCCTAAAAATCCCAGTCGCCTTTTAAAAGGGGGAGTATGAAAGGTATTTCTCCCGCCTTACTAGCGTGGATTCGTGGTGTAGTGATTCTGCACGCTGGGCCGGTATTCCAGAGATCCGTGGTTTGATTCCCGGCGAAGGCGGTTGCTAACTTTTCATCTCTCCGGCTTTTGTATTAACCTAATGTATCTACAACTTCAATGATATAATTAAATTACCAACTAAATATATTATAAATTAGATCAAATAGATGTACTACAAATCACATCAACATGTCATTAAAAACTGAGGTAAAGATATGAATTATTAAGAAATATGATTAATAATTTTAAATTATTAAATTTGTTAAACAACGTAGAATTTTAAATTGAAAGATAAATCAAGGATCGCAGTTGGTACTCATTAACGCAATAACCCTGGCGCAATCTTGGGAGTGAATAAATTAACTGCGAAAGAAGACTACAAAATATTATTTATGATATACATTTTTAAGTTTAAATTAAGCATTTGTCCCGAAAATCAATAAATACATTTGCTTACAAGCGAGTCTTTGCTTCCTTTGTCTTCGTGACGATCGCCTTAAGAATGGATTCAGAGTGAATTTTCAGCAAAATATTATATTCCTTCAGAAATTTTTCAAGAGTCTCTTCCACGGCTGGCAAATCCCATAAGCGCATTTATTTCATTTTAACACAAGATAGCACTCTTATTCTATGAAAGCCATTCGAATCCCACAAAAAGAACATAAACGAAAATGGCGATGTTGCTTGCTTAAAGAAATATCTTGTGCATGGTTGCCAGAGTTTGGGCGCGTTTTCAAAATATGATGATTTCTACCAGGATGATTGCGTTAATACGTAAGTATCGAAAAGGTAAACAATTCCCTACTTTGGTAACGTTTTTTAAGTCAACAAAATAAGGAATTGATAAATTGAGTTAAAATTAAATCTTTTTTTATCTGATAAGTCAAATACTCACGTTTCTTACAATCACGACCACAACGACCACATGGACAAGAACAAATATACCCTCTGACATCGTTTACGGAAGTAGGAACATCGTGGCACGTTCCGCCGTGCATGCAAGGTTCTTGCATACAAGTGATCTGAAAAGGTAGTTTAAACTTTCAAAAATATAAAATGTGGGGAATACAAAATATTAGTAGCCCCCCTTATTTTTTGGTTTCTGCCGCAAGTATTAGAGTAATAGGATAAATCAGTCAAACAAAAATGGATCACTTTTGAATAATAAACATATATTTCAAATATACTTATTTATTTTAAATGGCAAAAAATATTGCAAATATACTTATTTATATTTAATAAAGGCAGTGGCAGATGGATTTGTACGCAATAAAAGATTAGCAGAAAATGTCACATCCTATGAAAATATCTATATTTTATTTTTCCCGTGGTAGTGAGCTTAAACCATCTAGCTTAAAACAAACAGTTTAATCAAGGTCAGTAGACGAACAACTTAGGCTTTAACGCTGACGTTGCTTACAGATTTGGGAAAATCGGTGACTCAACTACCAGGTTGCACATACAACTAGAATAACTTATGACTACGAAATCAGAAAAATCAAAACAGAATTTAAATACCCTAGTAAATAACTTAGAATAAACTCAAGAAAAAAATTATTTCTGACTCTAAATAATTATATTCTAGTAATAATGGCTACGTAAATGCCAGTAAGAGGCAGGTATGAGGAAAAACTATTTGTGTGCGCATTCTTATTAATCCGTTTGAGCAGTGAAGTCATTTTTCATCATATCATGGAAATATTCACCATTTACACAAGAGTGTAAAATACAGAAGCCAAGTTATACTTGAAAGTAAATTGTACGCAAAATTAAAATCAGTTTCTAGAACGAATTCTTAAGTTATTTGAACATGCAGAAACTTTCATTGATTATTGTATTCGAAATACAGTCACACTGTCTGTAAATTATTTAAACGCTTATTAATGACAAACGTACTGACGAAGGGTGAAAATTACTGAACTCTGGTAATTTCGTAGAGGTACGATTCTTGACTGTACTGGATAGCTAAATAAATGTTTTAACGATTTTTTCCACATGTACTACGAAGATGTTTCCTTTAGGCAGCTCTTCACAAAAAAGCACTTGCTTTTATCTTCAGGAAATTGCTTGCACCTTCAAAAAATCTACTACATTGCTCTTGGATACTTAGCCATAACTAAATATATGACTGACCTAATTGTATCTACTTGAAAGCTACTTTACTGAAATCTCTGAATACACAAAAGATGTTAAATTAATATAAAAAGCATAAAAATAATTTAAAGAAATACATAAAAGTTTTTGAAAGTTATCAAACAAGACTGATTATTTCGAAGAAAATAAAAAGATTCTCTTTATCAGCGTTGAGGTATATTGCTTTCCTGTATATAGTACATTTTTGTAAAAATGTTGCTTTACTATGCATAATATTATCAGGCTCAGTATTCCTCCTTACTTGCTTCGGGAACATTACATGACCTGACTCGGAACAGGGAGCTTACTAAAGCTATGTTCAATAAATGTGGGAAACGGACAAAACACACAGGAAGGGTATACGAAACCCTTTATATTTCTCTCTTTACAATAATTTCCGGACTTCGGAATACAAAGACCAACCACTTGTGGTCTGAACGTAAGAATATAAAAATATTAACTAAACTCTATCTAGACTTAACTTTGGATTAATAAACAAGTGGCTACTTGAAGATTGGCCGTATATTAATAGAAAGGTCGTATGTAGTACAGAGAACTGTTAACACTACGATACGTTTAAAATTATCAAGAGGATTAAACCTCTGGCCTGAAGGCAACCAGCAACCGAGTAAAACTGCTATGGCAAGCGGCCTGCTTCTACTAACTCCTTCCTCTCTCTTGCTTGGCAAAAAGCCACAACTTAAGTACTTGGCGTTCGCAAGACAAATTTGCATAAATAAGTTAAAGCTTTAATTCTGGCCGGAAGTAGAAAATAAGAAGTGATAGTAAAGATTTAAAATAAAATAAACGTTAGTAAAACTTAAGATCCTTACAATATATCTTCTTTATTAAGAACATTTCTTTCCTGAACATAATGCTTTTTCAACTATAAAAATACCTGTACATAATACTATTTGATAAACAGTTATCTATAATTTTAAGTTATCTATAATAATTTTTTCAATTAAAATTTTACAATTATCGTTTTCAATTTTAAAACTGTCGATAATCATTTTCCACCCTATTCTTTCAAAAGTTGGTTGCTATTTCTTCCTTGAAGAGAAAAATTGAAATCGCTTAGCTTCTCCAAAATATCTGACAAATAGCATGCATTTGATAGCCATAACATATTTTGATAAAGAGCAGAAAGATTAGATGCTTGTTCGGTAAAAAATGTAACAATTTCGTCTTTTAATACCAATACTCTTAAACAAACTTTACACTCTTGATATCAGTCTTACTCTTGCATGTAAAGATAAATTTTTGAATTCAAAGCATATTTATTTCTTTACGGATATCTGAAATAAACAGCTGCTAAGGGGACGGCTTCTAATAAAGTTTCCAATTTTGAAAATATCGCTCAACTCCGTTGCCAATTTTGCTGCTTCATAGGCCTCTCGATGGATCAGGCAATGTATAAAAATTACATGATCATTACCAATATCTTTACCTAAATTATCTAAAACCAATACTTTTTCCCCGTCATCGCCTTTTGCATCATTTGTGCAAACATCAATGCAATTTTTCTGTTCTAATCCTTCAGTTTTAAAACATTCATCAACTTGAGTGTATATGTCTTCCAGAGAACGACAAAATAATAATTTTTCATTTATGTCTTCTATATAAATGTACATACACTAAAAACTGAGCTATTTTTTAATTATTGCTTGTTTCGTGAAATTGAATTGTAAATTTTGCACTTTCTTTAAGTCAAGTAATAAATTGCTCGAAATGGTCGTTGCTAATTTCCAAAGTTCTATTGGCGACAGCGTTGTTTGACAAAAGAATTTTAGGAATTCTATCGCTATATTTATTTCGTAAAATACACTTGTCGGTAAAATTAAGAGAATTTGCACATTATGTAGAATTTCTGAAAAATCAATGGACAGATTTGAAGGAAATTTGGTATGAATATACATTTATTATACAGAAAGAGATGTACCATTCAAAACTCATTTAATGTACCCATTATTTTCACTAAAGTTCATAGTGCAGGGATGTCGAAAATTCATGTTATGATATCGAATTGAGATGAGTCTAATATGGGATATGGCCCTTTCTCACAGCCAGAAAGATCGCGCAACGTAACGGCATACTTGACAAGCGGTAGTTGATGAGTCTTTCTGACAGCCACCTCCACCATTAAAGCAAAGCATTTCTAAACTCAGGAATGATTTTCAGAGAGGGATGGTGAGATGAGATTTTCCTCCCAAGAGTATCCCAGACATGCTGTATAGAGTTAAGGTTATGAGATCTGACTGGGAAATACATGCCCCAAATATCCTCATTTTCCAGGTAATCGTCGACCAGCTGAGCTCTATGTTGACCAGCGATGTCGTCCGTTAATAAGAACCATAGACCAACTGCACCGCTAAAAAGTCAAACATAGGGCTCTAACCATCTCCTCTCTATACCTCTTAGCAGTTAGGAAGCCACTGTCAAACACATGCAGGAATGTACGGCCGTCCAACCGCAAACCATCACTACTCAACCACCGTAATGATCCTTTTTTCCTGATGAAGGAGGGGTGGTATCGTGCTGCTCCATGCTGTCTCCAGATACAGGCTGACTTTCGTCTCATCTGTGAAAAGCACAATGCTCCACTTAAGTCTAGTTCAAGGCTGATGTTGTCTGCACCATGCTAAACACACTCTCTTGTGTGCTGTAGTGAACGAGACGCAAACAGCGGGTCTGTTTTCTGACATACAGCCCTATTTCACGAAGCCTTCGGCCAACTGTAGACCGCAAACTCTGGTTTCGGTGGTAGCATACAGCTCACGTGGGAGCTGTGCAGCAGTCCCGTATCGCCCTGTTGAAACTGCCAAATACCGATCCTCATTCGTTGTTGTGGATCTAATTTGAACTAGCTCAGATCTTTCCGATATGGATCCAGTGTCCTAAAACTGTAGTGAGGAGCAAAACCTGAAAATCAGTAAACGAAGTTTTGGTGCTTTCGTCTACTTTTCCCAGTTTCTGTCCTGAAAATATTTCCTCAAATTGCAGATGACGCTAAGCATTAGACTGTCCTCTCTAGCCACTGGGATTGTTATTGGCCAGCGTTTGTTACCGTTCCAAAATTTTGAAATTCTTTTTCAGTGTAAGCGTAAACTTGAGAGTGCTGTTGTCTTAAATCCCCACACTCTAGAGAGTATATCTTTGAATTATAATATCTGAAATGTCATTTCGATTGGTTCAGCGGATAGGACACTAGGTGTTCATATATTGGGGAAGTTTGTTATAACCACCCTTTACTTTATATCGAATTATGATTTAAAACAATTTTGGATTCAAAAACCATTTTTATTGACATTAATGAGACTAATCACCTTCCATATAAAGCCCTAAAGAAATTTGTTGAGCTTTCGAGCAGCTTAAACTAAAACTTGAGATTTCATAAAAGTCTTTGAAGGAATTCTAGATTGATGTTGAAATTGATTTTCGCACAGTTTCTGAAATGGTATTAACTGTTGTTTTGCCATTCAGCACCACATACTTATGTGAAACGGCTTTTCCAGCTTGAACGCTTATTAAATTCAAATATTGTTCAGTGCTGAAAGAAGCAGCAGACAATATATGTCCAGCAGTATTAAGTATTGCACCAAGATTTAACTTGTTATACAGCAAAAACCAAACATATTCGTCTCATTAAAACGTGATTTTATTTCAGTAATTTTCATATACTTGAAACAAATCCTAAAGATCCGCTTTTCATATGTATATTGTTTACCAAAGAAATAAAATTATTTAAGGAAAAATGTTTATTTTCATATTTTTATTTTATATTTAGTGTGTGGGACAGGGAAAAAATCTCAATGAGAGAAAGGGGTTCTGAATGAAAAAGAGTTTAAGAAGCCCTGATACAGATAATAGAATAAGATTCGTGAA